ACATTATTCTAATTTCCTCATACAGTGCAATTAAAAAACTCTTAATAAAAAGGTTAAATACGATTAAACAATACTTCTATTTAAAAGCAGAAGTTTAAAAGCATACTCAAAACCCGAAGCTTCCTTAACTAGAAAGGACTTTTACCTTCCTGCGGAAAGACAGTAGGCTAGAAATAGTTTTGAAGCCTTCACAGTTGAAATTAATGGTGGCAGTTTAACCTTCCAGATGAACTCATTTAATTCTCAAATGTAAATGTGCTGATCTGTTTGCTGTATATACAAAGATGGTTGAAGCCGGAAATGGTGCTCTCCCTGTTTGTTCTATGTATACATAATATATACATTTTAATTGTTTCCAGTAACCTGTTCTTCAGAAATAAAGAGCTGATGTATGCACTGGCCTCAAGTCCTTTTGATTGATTGGCTTTGGGATCATTAAATCATACCAGCCGAACTTACGCTTTGATTCAGGCTAGAACAGGCCCAAGTATGTGGACTTGTGACTCACAAGCTTTTGAGTCAGCTGCCTTCATAGCATTGCACAATAGACGTTGGATTTCCTTTAATATTTATTTGACCTTCTTTTGGCTGCAGTCTCTTTCTGTTGTTTGTTAATGAGGCATCTCGTTAGTATATATGCATGCAAAGGGTTTCCTAAACCAGACTTTTCCCATTTGAAGAACAGTGTCCTTTTTGGTTTTTACATTTTTAAGAAACTTGTTAGGGCACCAATAGAAAACACTTGCTTTAATCTCAGGCAGTTTAACCAGAATTTCACATTTTCACATTTTGCATATTTTGTTGTAGAAGATCTTAATAATTTTCTGTGCCTAGGCACAATCTAGTAAACACTTTATTGAATTTAAGTCTTATTGATTAAAGTAGAAAATATCCTAAATATACTAGATAGTCCGCCCCAGGAGACTAATGGATCCGGATTGATTCCTGATGTCTCTTGGGGATCTTCCTGAAGGCTGTCATGAAGGCTGATGATCCTGTCGAAGTCCTGGTGGATCTCTATAACACTGAGATGGCTAGGGCTGTAGACACGATCGCCCCCGAACGCCCTCTCTCATTATGCAGAGTCAACTTAGCAGTTTGGTTTTCCGAGGAGTTGAGATTGATGAAGCAGATGAGACGGAGGCTAGAGCGCTACTGGCAGAAATCTCGGAGCGCGCCCGACCAAACACGGGCTAGAGCCTCTATTATGGCCTATACCGCATTAAAGGCAGCCAGAAAACTTTCTCGACTGACCACATTGCGTTTGCAAGAAACAGACCAGCGGAGTTGTTCAGGGTGGTTGGGGAGCTCCTTCACCCCCCTGGGGGGGGGAGACTCCTGACCACCTGACCTCCCAATGTAGTGAGTTCGCTCATCATTTTGCCGATAAAGTCGCTCGGATACATTCAGACTTAGACGTCAGTTTGGATGCAGTTCCAGAGGAGGTGACCGGGGCATCTGTTTGTCCAGTGTTGTGGGATTCGTTTCAGCTTGTCCAGCCTGATGACATGGACAAAATCCTTGGAGTGGTGAGGGCGACCACGTCAGCTCTAGACCCTTGCCTTTCCTGGCTCCTAAAATCAGCCAGCACGGGCTTGGCCAGTCATGGGACTGATCAGGGCGTAGAGTGGCTACCTGTGCTTGATAGGGTCGCACTCCCTCTGAGGACACAGGTCAGCACCTTGGGGATCCTTCTGGACTCCGTTTTGACATTTGATGCTCAGGTGTCAGCGGTGGCTGGGAGGGCCTTTGCACAGTTAAAGGTCGTGCACCAGCTGCACCCGTACCTCGTGAAATCTGATCTGGCCATGGTGATCCATGCCCTAGCCACTTCTAGGTTGGATTACTGCAATGCACTCTACGTAGGGTTGCCCTTGAAAATGGCCTGGAAACTACAGTTGGTCCAGAGATCTGCAGCCAGACTACTCACGGGAGCTGGTTACAGAGAGGGGTCAACCCTCCTGTTTAAACAGCTCCATTGGCTTCCAATAAGTTTCCAGTCCCAATTCAAGGTGCAGGTCATCACCTATAAAGCCCTAAATGGTTTGGGACCTGCTTATCTTTGCAATCGCATCTTCCCCTATGAACCAGTGCATACCTTGAGATCTTCTGGGGAGGCACTGCTCTCTCTCTCTCCCCCCCCCCCCCACCGTCACATGTATGGTTGGTGGGGATGAGGGAGAGAGCCTTCTCGGTGGTGACCCCCCAGCTCTGGAACTCCCTTCCTAGGGAGATCAGACAGGCTCCCACCTTATCCTACTTTCAGAGTCAACTAAAAACCTGGATGTTCCGTTGCGCTTTTGACTAAGCAGCTCACCAGTAACTTTCTTGTCCCTACTTGAAGTTCCGCACTTTACACCGGCCTGCATTTTACACTGGCATATGTCCTACCTGAACATGTGTTTGACAGTATTTCCTGCCCAATTTACTGTATTGTTGCACTTTCTTGCGCTCCTGTAAAAATGTATTGCACTCATTGAATCTGTACCTCAGCTGTTTCTTTCAGCCGTATTGTTTTATATTGCTTTCAATTGTGTTGTTATTTGTTTTATCTGATGATTTAATTGGTTAAATGTCTTACATGTGTGTTTTAATTGTAATCTTGGACATGTCCCTTGTAAGCCACCCCGAGTCCCCTAAAGGTGATGGTTGGCGGGGTATAAAAAGATGTTGCTGCTGCTGCTGCTGCTGTTGTTGTTAGATCTTATCTGATCTTGGAAGATAAGTAGAGACAGCTCTGGTTAGTACTTGAATGGGAGTCTACCAAATAATTCCTGGTGCAGTAAGCTATATTTCAGAGGAAGAAGTTGGCAAAACTTAGATTTATTGCTTAAGAAAACCATAAAACATTCAAGAGATTTACTTGAAGTCACACACATACAATTAAGCACTAGTTTAAGAAATGGCTTTTGCAATAATTTAATTAATCAATGCACTGTTCACTCAATTTGATGCAATTATTGGTTGGAAAATATTGAATATTTTGTGACTACAGCTTCACTAATTAGATTGTTCCTAGTAAGAACTACATTGTAAACAATTTTTTTTTAAAAAATCTAGGCATGTATTTGAAAACCTCACTCATATTAAATTATGTGCATAACCTTTTATTGAAATCCAGCATATTTCGGGCTACAGTCCTTGTCACAGGTATTAAACTCTTTAGCATATAGTGCAATTTATTTCTGAATAAAGAATAAGTTATATTACGTTATAATGCTTGTAACTGGAATTTTATGTAAATATATAATACACATATAGTAAAAATCTGTAGCATGTAACCTAAAATGCAATAAAATATTCATTGACTGAAAGCCAGTTGGATCATATATAGTGCCATTGTGAGAGGAACCTTTCAACAATGTTTAAAGAAAAATATAAAAATTTCCATTTTATAAGCAGAAAAGATACAGTAAGTAATATTGGGGCTTGCAAATTTCTGAAGATACCCTTTTTTTTCTATATTTGAGTGTTAGTATGCTGATATAAGCATTCTTTCACAACTACTGTATTTGATTCTGTATGTATGGATTATCTTATATTAATATTGAAGATATTCAAATGGTGTGGTTTATTCTTCCAATATATCATAATTTCAAAGACATTGAGCACATTTGATTCTGCCAAGATGTTTCTAGGACTTTTTAAAAAAACGATAGTCACCTTTCTACATTTGCTGGAATTAGACATTGAGGACCCCGTGAAAGTAGAAGAACCATGAATAGAGAAAAACACTGTTTTATTTGAGGGAATATCTAGGTCCTCCAGTGAGACTCCGCCAGAAGTTGACTATAGAGCTGTGCAGAAGGATCTGGGGATTCCAACAGAGATCACATTAATAAAGCCACCTTGAGTCTCTATGGGGAGAAAGACAGGATAAAAATAGAGTAAATAAATAAAGTAAATAAATCAGTCCCACAAAACTTAAACCTGCAAATGTGAAGGGCTAACGTTAAAACGTTAAAAACTCTCTTCTTTAATACATTTGTTAGAAAATGTTTTCTATAAAACCATATAAATATATTTCACAAAACTACTAGTCAAGGATATGTGACTATGCTAGGTTATTAGACTACTGCAACACAGTCTACATGGGGTTACCTCTGAAGACTGCTCAAAATCTCCAGCTAGTTCAACCAGGTTGCTCACAGGAGCATACAACTCCCTTGTTACACCAGCTCCATTGGCTGCCTGTAAGCTTACAAGCACAATTCAAAGTGCTGGTTTTAACCTATAAAGCCCTAAACAGTTCTGGCCCAGTTTATTGGTCTGAACATATCTCCCTCTACAAACTACCAAGGGCCTTAAGATAATCCAGGGAGGCCCTGGCTCTTGGTCCCACCACCATCGCAGTCACGTTTGGTAAGGACGAGAGACAGGGCCTTCTCTGTGGTGGCCCCTCAGCTGTGGAGCTCCCTCCCTAATGAGGTTAGATGTGCCCCCTCCCTCCTGACCTTCTGGAAGAAACTTAAATCCTGGCTTTGGGATCAAGCATTTGCAGAATAGACTGATTTACTGGGGGGTTTTTTGGGGGGGGGTTGTCGTGTCAGGAGTGACTTGAGAAACTGCAAGTCGCTTCTGGTGAAGGTAAGACTTTATTTGACTGCAATGGACTGATTTGGATGACAAGTTTAACCTGGTGAACTGTTTTTAATGTATATTTATAACTGCTTTAATGTATATGGTTGTGTTTTATGATATGTTTTATATTGTGTCAGCACTGAATGGTTGCCTGTTGGAAGCCGTCCTGAGTCCCTCTTCGGAGGTTGAGAAGGACGGGGTATAAATGTTTTAAATAAATAAAATAAATAATAATTATTGTGATGCCTGTGTATAAATGTACAGTGTTTTTATTTATTATTATTATTTATTTACAGCATTTATATACCGCTTTTCTCACCCCTAGGGGGGACTCAAAGTGGTTTAAAATGCTTAAAGTTTTGTTTCTTGTAAAGATAGAATTCCGGACAATCATTTTTCTTTTTTTTGTGTGTTCACAGGTTGCATTTGACATAACAGGGAAGAGTCTCTTGATCCAGAAAATGTAGCTGCTCCTCAGTCGCTCAGTAGTCAGTGTAGATTCTGTCTTCTCAATCAGCAGCTACATCTGGCTACTGGGTCTCTGAGGACATCTTGTAGCACCTCACCGCTGGACATCATTGTGGGCCATTTGAATATCTTGAACTGCTACTATTTCCCCAAGACGGAAGAGGAAAATGATTCATTAATGTCTAGTGATGTATCTAACAATGGCTTACCTGAAAATGATTCTCAGTAAGACATTTTGTACATTTCATTGAATCAAACAGGACTTTTTACAATGCAGAGTATCCACTGTGTTCATTATAGTAATGACTATAGGTCGAGAATTAACAGCCACTAATTGTAAATAAAAAACACAGCAGCCTGATAGCTCCCATAGTCAATATAGACTGGCATTCAGCATTGCATTTACAAATTCACAACCTAGAATTAGGTCTCCAGACTGCTTCATATTCATTAAGACTATGCCATCTTACTGTAAAACAACATATATGCCATTTCTGCCTAATATAAGAGCTAGAATCATAGAATCATAGAGTTGGAACAGACTTCGTGGGCTAATCAGTCCAACCCCCTGCCAAGAAGCAGGAAAATCTCATTCAAAGTTGCAAGATTGGGCAAAGGTCTGTTCAGCTTCCAATTGGGGTGCATAGAGGATCCACCTTCTTCTCAACTATGAATAAAGCTGCAACAGTAAGAGTCAGGACAACGTTAGAAGTCCATGTGCAGTGACCTAAATCCAGTTTCTATTTTCAACTAGAGTGAGATCTATTTTTGTATTGAGTAATTTTTCAATAACTGATTCAATGGGTCTATTCTAGATGGTTCTAGCATTTGGAATTATGAGCATTGTATACACTTCAGATGTTGAACTGTAGCTCCCAGCATAGTTTTAATGTTTTTAACTATTATTATTGACTGTTTTTATTATGTATATATTGAGGCATCGAATTGCTGCCGATTGGAAGCCACCCTGAGTCGTCCCCCCCCCCTCCAGGGAGTTGAGATGGGCAGGGTACAAATATTCGAAATAAAATAAATAAACTCATCCATCCCCATTGGATATGTTGAGTAGGGCATCATATTGAAGAGCTGCATATTTCTCATCTTCGATTTATCCCGTTTTTCCTGCAGTGCACTGGATGAAATGTATTCAGTGTTTTAAGTTGTATTTCTCTGACACCATTGCTTCTATTTGCAGATATTTGGAACCAGTCATCCAGCCTTGGGGCCTGAACCTGGCATACAATGTAGAAATCTGTGTTTGCTAAGCAACAGCTACATTGTCTGCTGGGTTTCAGGCTGTCTGGAAATACAAAGCCAATCTGCACTCAATACCTTCGTTCTACATTGAATTATTCTGCATCCCACGGCCTACCTTTCAGTGTAAAACCAAGCTGGTATATGTATGTGTTTAAGAAAACTCTCATGTGAGATTCCTCCTTTCATAAGAAGATAGTTTCAATGCATTCGTGGAAAAAATGCTACTTTTAAAAGGTTTTCGGCTATTGAAAAGCATACCACTTGAGTAGGGCTGTTACATTTTTTTTTTTTAGAACATGAGAGCACACTGTTGGGAAATTTAGACTTGTTTGGTACAATAAGAACAAAGTTTTACACCAGAAATTTCATCTAAATGGCCTCCTTATACATATATGCTTCTCCACAGAGGAAGTACATGCATCAGAGGGAAGACTATGGTAGATTGCAGACTGGGAAGCAAAGAATTTTCAATAAAAGGGAATATTGATTCTCATCCCATGCCTGCATTGCAAACTGGCCCAAGTGGTGAATGCATGGATTCTTCTGAAGGAGTAGCTCTGTCTTCAGAGTTCATTTCACCTGTCATATATCACTTTTGTCAAGTCCACCAAATATAATTTATAATTTATTATTTTATTTACTGTCCTTGTATACCGCCGTTTCTCAGCCTAACTGGCGACTCAACGCGGTTTACAACAAAATATACAGTACACAGTATACAATTAAAACCATAAAAAACATAATACACAATATTACATGTAAATCACAATCCAATACATCTCCTAACTAAAATCGTGGTCCAATTGCATCATCCATATTACCAATCCGTAGTCGACACATTCATTGCACCGAATTAACCAAATGCCTGCTTGAACATCCAAGTTTTTAGTCTTCTTCGGAATACCATCAGCGAGGAGGCTGATCTTACCTCCATGGGAAGGGCGTTCCAGAGCCGAGGGGCCACCACAGAAAAGGCCCTGTCTCTCGCCCCGCCAGCCGCACCTGTGAAGCAGGCGGGATAGAGAGCAGGGCCTCCCCAGAAGATCTTAGGGTCCTGGTGGGCTGATAGGCCGAGATACGTTCGGATAGGTAGGTTGGGCCAGAACCGTTTAGGGCTTTAAAGGCCAACGCCAGCACTTTGAATTGAGCCCGGTAGCAAATCGGCAGCCAGTGGAGCTGGTGCAGCAGAGGAGTTGTGTGCTCCCTGCGCTCCGCTCCAGTTAGTATCATGGCTGTCGACCGTTGGACTAATTGGAGCTTCCGAGCCGTCTTCAAAGGCAACCCCACGTAGAGAGCGTTGCAGTAGTCTAAACGGGATGTAACCAGAGCGTGGACTACCGTGGCCAAGTCAGACTTCCCAAGGTACGGGCGCAGTTGGCGCACGAGTTTTAACTGTGCGAATGCTCCCCTGGTCACCGCCGAAACCTGGGGTTCCAGGCTCAGCGATGAGTCCAGGATCACACCCAAACTGCGAACCTGCGTCTTCAGGGGGAGTGCGACCCCATCCAACACAGGCTGTAACCCTATACCCTGTTCGGCCTTGCGACTGACCAGGAGTACCTCTGTCTTGTCTGGATTCAATTTCAATTTGTTCGCCCCCATCCAGACCGTCACAGCGGCCAAGCACCGGTTCAGGACCTCGACAGCCTCCTTAGTAGCAGGTGGAAAGGAGTGACAGAGTTGAACATCATCTGCGTACAAATGACATTGCACCCCGAAACTCCGGATGATCTCACCCAGCGGCTTCATGTAGATGTTGAACAACATGGGAGACAATATTGAACCCTGAGGAACCCCACAAGACAAAGGTTGTGGGGTTGAACAGGAGTCTCCCAGTAACACCTTCTGAGACCGACCCTCGAGGAATGAGCGGAGCCACTGTAGAACAGTTCCTCCAAGACCCATTCCCGCGAGGCGTCCCAGAAGGATACCGTTGGGTAATTTCATTCACCCAACAATTTTCTGGTAGTATCATAGAAATTCTATTGGATTTTCTTTTCATGCACAGCCTAGATTAACCATAATTGGTATTTTATTAGCATATTTTTGTATTAGATTTTCATTTTTGCATGAGAGAGAGAGAAGCATAGGCCGGAAGTTCAAAATTATATCATTGTAGTCATGAATTCCTCTTTTGTGGCCCTTGAAATCCTCCCAGTTCTCAAGCCCCCCAATACATACATTTTTTAAAAAATGATGGAATATTTGGGTGATTTCTTCTTGCCCTCAAACCGTACATAAAGACCCACCAATCCATGGAAATATGTAAAAACATTCCCTTCGAGCCTACTCTCAGTACTACATACCTTTGTTTTTGTCAGTGACTTGGTGATTTTCTATTATGGAATTTATAGTTAGCTGCCATTGGCATTTTTTTTTTGTGGGAAGACATGTACATTTAACATGTAAATAATTTAAATGTATTAGCATCATAATAAATATTTTTTATTTATGCTTTAAAAATATACTAATATGAACACAACAAAACCCTGCCCTGAGGAATTTACAGAGTTGGGAGGAAAAAACAAATGAAGGGCAGGGAAGAACAAGCACAATGAGTTGATGCAATCGTCATGGAGTTAATTAATAAATGTCAAAAGCTAGTTGAGATGTGAAAATATTTTCTCATCTTCATCAGCCACCCAGTTTAGAACAATTCAATGTCTAGTGATGTATATCTAGTGATGTTTGGAAGCCAGCTGGGGGGAGGAGTAGCTTCCATGAAGCAGCCATAATATCTCATTGCGGTGTGGAAGTTTTACAGATCAAGTGTTTTATTATTTCTTTTCTTACAAAATTACTTTTTCTTGAAGTTGATTCCTTTTTTTGTCTTGTGTTAAGTGTATTTAAATTCTGCATCTCTATCTGCTGACAAAAAAAAACAAAACAGCAACACACAGATACTATTTCAACTCTACTCGGTATCAATCAAATCATTTATTTCAGTCATAGACCAGCACAGGAAATAAAAGTCACATTTTCATACGAACTTGGTACATTTAGTACATTTAAAATATAAATACTAAAGCACAAAAGAGGGTGAGAGCAGAAGGGGTAAAAACATACACAGGTCTATCAGCAAATTATAGAATCAAGGAAGATGATTACTAGATTATGTCATGTTATAAATTGATACACATTAATGAATTCTAAGAATGTGCATTTATGCAATAGAATGTTGTAAAAACCAAATTAATTTAAGCAAAGCTTTGTAATCCTTAAACTACCAATAAAGCTGATAACTGATATAATGGTGGGTTTTTTTTATTACAGAATGAAATTTGTCATGTCAGGGTAGCATGTGAATTTACCAGTTCTGCAAGATACATTATACTAGAGCTTCAGATACTATTGAGTCATTTTAGCATTGGCTAATTGCAATGGATTCTTTGGAATCCATGCCCACAGTTTGGCTGTAACTGCTGCTATTATCAATATCCATTATGTTCTCCCATATTCTGCATTAAAATATACAAAGTCTGACAATTGGTATTTTTCTTTTTTCCAAGTATGTTAAAAGCCTGAAGACATTGCAAATGAAAAAAAAAAGGCAAATGACAACTTAAGGAGTCCAAACCTTATAGCAGATGTGGGCTTGTTCACACAATACTGCCATCTGCTTATGCAACTGATACTCTTTCTCGTCTCTTGAATGAAACTGTTTGATGAAGTAACATGTTGGGCTAGATCAAGCCTGTTGACATCTTAGGTCTAAATTACACATTAAATTGTAGCCAAGTGTAGCATAAATTTTGCAATTCCCTTTC